CTAACGGCACTGTGGCGGTGCGCAATGTCTATGATAGATGGATGAAGGTCAATGACAAGGCCAATGACTACATTTTGGCGAGTATATCTGATGTGCTTGCTAAGAAACACGAGGACACGGTCACCGCTAAGGAGATCATGGACTCGCTGCAGAGCATGTTTGGACAACAATCCTCATAGACTCGACATGAAGCCCTTAAGTTCATTTACATCTCCCGTATGAAGGACGGCTCCTCGGTGCAAGAACACGTTCTCTACCTGATGGTCCACTTCAAAATGGCAGAGTCGAACGGGGCTGTCATAGACGAGCAGAGTCAGGTTAGCTCGATTATGGAATCTCTTCCGAAGAATTTCCTGCCATTTTGTAGCAATGCGGTTTTGAATAAGCTGTAGTACACTATTACCACACTCTTAAACGAGCTGCAGACCTACTGATCTCTTATGAAAAGTCAGGGACAATAAGGGGAGGCAAATGTTGCCATCTTAAAGAGGTTCAATCGAGGTTCGTCCTCTGGAACCAAGTCTGCGTCCTCTTCTTCTGAAAGTAGGATTTTAATGAAGAAGAAGGCTGCTGGTAAGGGGTCTAAACCTGACTCCACTGCTGCCGCTGTCAAGAAAGGCAAGGCCAATGTTGCAGAGAAAGGAAAGTGTTTCCACTGCAATATGGATGGGCATGGGAAACGCAACTGCCGAAAATACTTGGCCGAAAAGAAGAAAGCCAACAAAGGTAAATATGATTTACTTGTTTTGGAAACATGTTTAGTGGAGAACGATGACTCTGCCTGGATATTGGATTCCGGAGCCACTAATTACGTTTGTTCTTCGTTTCAGGGAATTAGTTCCTGGAGGCAGCTTGATGCCGGAGAGATGACTCTCAAGGTCGGAACGGGAGAGGTCGTCTCAACAGTGGCGGTAGAGGAGCTCAAGTTGTTTACAAACAAACATATGTATATATTATTACATAATGTGTACGTAGTTCCTAAAATTAAAAGGAACTTAATTTCAGTTTTTTGTTTGTTAGAACATTTATATTCCATTTCTTTTAATTTAAATGAAGCGTTCATTTCAAGAAATGATGCCAATATTTATTATGCTTTGCTTGAAAACAACTTGTATGTGCTAAGACCAACCATAACTAAATCAGTTTTAAATATCGAGTTGTTTAAAAATGCTAAAACTCAAAATAAAAGGCAAAAAGTTTCTCACAAAGAAAATACCTATTTTTGGCACTTAAGATTAGGTCGCATTAATCTCAATCGGATTGGGAGGTTGGTTAAGAATGACATTTGAAATGAGTTAGAAGATGATTCTTTACCACCATGTGAGTATTGTCTTGATGGCAAGATGACTAAGAGACCTTTTACTGGAAAAGGTTATACAGCCAAAGAGTCCTTAGAACTTATACATTCAGACCTTTGCGGTCCGATGAATATTAAAGCTCGATGAGGGTATGAATACTTCATCTCTTTTATAGATGATTATTAAGGGTATGGTTATTTATACCTAATGCAACATAAGTCTGAAGCCCCTGAAAAGTTAAAGGAGTATAGGACTGAAGTTGAAAATCAATTAGGTAAAACCATTAAAACACTTCGATCTGATTGAGGTGGAGAGTATATGGACTTGAGATTCTAAGACTATATGATAGAATATGGAATCACATCCCAACTCTCAACCCCTGGTACACCTCAACAAAACGGTGTATCAGAAAGGAGAAGTCGAACCCTGTTGGACATGGTTTGATCAATGATGACCTATGTTCAGTTGCCTAACTCGTTTTGGGGTTACGATGTGGAGACTGCAGTTTACATTTTGAACGTAGTTCCATCAAAGAGTGTTTTTGAAACACCCTTTGAGCTATGGAAGGGTCGTAAAGCTAGTTCACAAAGTGTTTGTATCGACAAATTCCACCTTATTGGAAGGAAACCACGTTCGAGATCATAAACCACGAAGTAAGGTAGTAATAAATGAAATTTCCAAAGAGGCTACAAATGTATCAACAATAGTTGTTTATCAAGCTGGCACTTCAACAAGAGTTGTTAATGAAGCCAACACATCACGTCAGTCACATCCACCTCAAGAATTGAGGGTGCCTCGACGTATTGGGAGGGTTGTGTTACAATCCGTCCGCTACATGGGTTTAACTGAAACCCAAGTTGTCATACCAGATGACGGTGTAGAGGATCCATTAACCTACAAACAGGCAATGCAAGATGTCGACAATGACAAATGGGTCAAAGCCATGGACCTGGAAATGGAGTCGATGTACTTCAATTCCATTTGGGAACTTGTAGATCAACCTGACGGGGTAAAACCCATAGAGTGCAAATGGATCTATAAGCGAAAACGAGACACCAAATGAAAGGTACAGACCTATAATGCGAGACTTGTGGCAAAAGGCTACACACAAAGGGAAGGGGTGGACTATGAAGAAACAACTATTGTTTTAATATGAATCTTATTGATATTAATTTTATTTTAATCTCATTCAAATAATATCTCTCATAATACATAGTTTTAATAAGTTGCTATAGTTTTATTAAGTCGATATAAGTTGCTTGAAACAGGGCTAACGTTTTGTTCTTGTGATACCTTAGAATTTGGATGTCAAGAACATACTAAGCTTCTCCCAAATCCTTCATTTGGAACTCAGTAGCTAGCCACTTCGTTATGTCAGTGAGGTATCCTATATCATTCCTAATGAGTAGGATATCATCCACATACAACACTAAGAAGGCTACAGTGTTGTTGTCGATCTTCTTGTATACACAAGGCTCATCAATGTTTTAGTCAAAATCATAAGATTTGATCGCAGTATCAAACCTTATGTTCCAAGATCGAGATGCTTGTTTTAGTCCATATATGGACCGTTTAAGCTTGCAAACATTTTGCTCTTGACCTTGTGCTATGAACCCTTCGGGAGGAGACATATAAATACTTTCTTCAAGATTGTCATTCAGAAAGGCAGTCTTGACATATAAATACCCACACCTGTCCGGAGTTCGATTCGCGGTACTCACTCCTATTTAGACTTAAACCAGCATTGCCCATCGCTTTTGGCATCGGAACAGCAAGCCTAAGGACGTTCGAAGCTCGATTTAGGCTACCCACACCTTGGCGAGCTAGATCTAGTTGACCCACACCTATACGAAGTCGATTTTGGTGGTAATGAGTCATTTGAACCCTTTTAGAATTGATTTCGAAGGCTAAATAGTGTACGTAACTTACTGTATTTTCCTGTTTTAGTGCTTAGGTGGGAGGTCGACGCAAAACTTAAGGGCGCGGTCGTGTGTAAGTAGACAAGGGGCGTGTGCGTGCGTTAATGTATGCTAAATGATCTCTAATGTGCTGATTTTGTGGCRTTTAATACTAATTTTRTTACGTCATTGTGCTAAATAATTCTCGTTGTGTTAGTCGATATACTTGGAGTAGTGTTGGATATTTGTCKATGAAAATGGTGAGATTTCTGCTTTGCTAAACTGTTGAGTATTGCTGTGGTAATGTTTGTTGCCTGGATATGCATGAATTGTTCGGCGTGTTTTGTGAGTTATTATACTTAGTAATGCTTGTTAAATAATGATGTTGGATATTTAGCATGATTGGGTTATTATCTTATTATTAGAAAGTTGTCTATGTTGTGGAAGCATGCTGAATTGTATTTGTGAGTTGAAAGATCCAGGGGTAGTGGCTTAAGGAAGCATATAGTAAGACTCTGGTGAGAGTTGGATTCTTGGAGGGAATGAATGAGTGAGTGTCAGGGCCGCGGGTATAAATGGTCGGGGGCTGATACGTCACTAATTGAGTATCGAGGCCTCGGGTAAAAACGGTCGAGGGTCGATACGAGGAGTCCTTTGAAGGAAGGCTATTAGGGCCTTGGGTAAAAATGGTCAAGGGCCAATAGATTGTGAAGTCATCGGGGCCTCGGGTAAAATGGTCGGGGGCCGATGCAGTAGTGTCGGGGCTCTGGGTAAAAATGGTCAGGGGCCGACTCTACTCGAACGAGTTAACTGTGGAAGGCTAGGATAGCCGTGATAAGCGTATAGGTACTTGAAATGATAGGGAGACTAGAAGTTGGTAGTTAATGTGTTCCTGGTTGTGGTTGTCACCGGATTTTATAGAATGTGCCCATGTTTGAATGCTTAATGTGTTGAACATCATGACTATGAATGTTTCATGATTTTTGTTGAGCATGATGTGTATGTGTTGTTGGTGAGGGCTACTTACGGAGTATATTTTATATACTCACCCCCCCCCCTCTACAATTATTGTTTCAGGTGAAGGACTCGTTGGCGACCATGGTGATGAGACGGAGGAGACATGACGAGCGAGGACCATAGGCTGCTTAGTCACTCTTGCTTAGCTTAAGTTATTAGTTAAGACCTTATGTTATGGTCAATAAACTATTTGTTCGTATTTGAATAATTGGGAGGTTCCCACTTGTTGTTAATTTTATTTTGGGATAGGTGCCTATTTTAGTTTTCTTCCATTCATTAAGTTTTGCCTAGTTTGAATAATAAAATTACCTCGTGAGGTGGTACACAAATGTTGTTGATTGATATTCTATGAAATTGATTTATTGTTGGATTGACGAGAAGTGGAACTTGATTTTATATATTTGATGCATAGGGAGTTGGCATGACGTATTTGGGGTTAAGTTTAATTAGTTGGGTAGTTAACGTGGCTTAGAAGTGTGTGGGAAATTCTGGGTCGTTACAATTGGTATCAGAGCCAGGTTGTTCCTGTAGACTGTCCTAGAACCTAGGTCGATAGAGTTTGGTCCTTGTCAGTCTCCTCATCATCGCCAGGTACGTTTCCTAGTTCTGTTTGTTGGATCATGAATGTCTTACATTGCTTATGGGTGAGATATTATTATTAACTGATATTAGATAGGTTGGTGTGTTTCCTTGGTTCATTATATAGACTGCTTGAACTTTGCACTTGTGTTGTGCCCCGGTTAGTGCGTTAATGACCTTGGTGCTCTGTTCTCTGTTCCTTTAGACAATGGCCTTTCGGCGGAACACGAGAGCTCACAACTATGAGGATCCGAATCCTAGGGGTGAGGGAGCAGCGGATCCTAACATTCCCCCGGCAGTTCCTGGAGGGGTAGCACCCCCAAGGCCTCAGGCAGCTCCTCAGGGAGTTCCCCAGGTGGCGTTACTAGCTGAGGCATTGCAAGTATTGCTGGATAATGCGAATGGAGCCGGTGGAGCTCAAGTGCAGCAGCCTCGCCGGGCATAAATTCCGCCAGAGGAGGTTCAGTTTATCAAGGATTTCAAACGCTTTGGGCCACCCGTTTTCAACGGGGTGAGTGAGAGGCCTACTGCGGCCGAGGAATGGGTTAGGGAGTTGGAAGCTCTTTATGTGTATTTGGGATGCTCCAACGATTTCAAGGTTCGAGGAGCAGTGTTCATACTTCGGGGAGAAGCAGTAAATTGGTGGGAGTCAGTGCCGGCAGCAGAGGATCACGCCAACGTACCTGTCACATGGGCAAGATTTAAGGATCTACTTTATGAGTACTATTTCCCTGTGACTGTCAGGAATGAAAAATGGGCAGAGTTTCTCCGTCTCACTCAAGGGAGCCTAACTGTGGCCCAATACGAGAGGAAGTTCACTGAGCTGTCCCGTATTGGAATGCAATATATTCCTACTGAGCAATTAAAGATTGACAAGTTCATTGACGGTTTGCGTAGGGAGATCAAGGGGTTACTTGTTCTCAAGGAACCAACTACATATGCAGCGGCTGTCAAGTGTGTGTTAGTTATGGACAAATGTCTCGAGGAGCCTCAGTCTCAGCATGTGATAGGCTCCAGCTCGGGGGCAAGAGGAAATTTGCATTGTTCTCCTCCAGTCAACCCTCAAGAGGACACCAGCATCATGTGCAAAGGCAGACTGCTCCTCCAATGTGCCCCTCTTGTAAGAAGAGCCATGCTGGGCCATGTTGGGTGGGAAAAAAAATATGTTACAGGTGCCAGAAGGAAGGA